CCCCTCCACTACCGCTTACCTGTAGTGCCCACTAACGCAAGCTAGCCCACATCAGACACAGTAAATCGGAAGGAAATTGGGGACAGACTTAAGTAGACCATTTTTCAAAATTATTCCCAAGTGATACAGAGTGAACGTAATATTGGAGTGTTCAATTTCATGGGTATATAACATAAATATTGTAACAGGGTACCTGCATATGCCATTCTAGAATTTGTGTAATTCGGAAAGAGTTTCCAGACTGTTTCTACAGATTCTATCCCCAAATAACATTGGCAGCCTGAAGCAACATGGCATGTGAGGGAACTGCAAGTAATTAGAAGTGCCTAGAGTGTAGGTTTGTGTGGAAAAGGGCAGACTAGAAGGAACCGGGTGGCAGAGGGCTGCCTGGGCATACTAAGATGTTTGAATTGTATCCTCTGTGGATCTCTTACGCATTAGCATCACGAGAATGATGTCAGATCCAGAGGTTTGAAAAATCACTGTAGCGGCAGCAGGAAAGAGAGCCTGAAAGGGTGAGAAATCAAAGCCAGGAAAACAAGTTAGGAGAGTCTAAAAGGATGATCCAGCCAAAAAGACACTGAGAAGATGAAGGCCTGAACTGTGTGGTAGTAGGGATGAATTCAAAAGGTGTATGTTTTAAGTGACTGCCGTGGGCCAGGTACTGCCTTAGTTTCTGGAGGTACAGCTGTGAATGAGGCCGACTTTGCTGCCCTCATGGAGCTTGCCACACTGGTGGGTGGAAAACAATAAAATGATTCCATGTTCTTCAGTTTGAGTGACTAGGTGGTCATGATTACCTGGGAGTTGGTTTGCGGGGGAAAGAGTTTCATTATGTTGAATACAAAGCGTGTTATATCCAGTCTGCACTTGGAAGTACAGCTCTAGAGTTAAAGACTGAGGTTTGGGCTCTTTTCAGAGGGCCTGTTTGTATTTGTTTTCAGTCATAACACTTGGTTTGATGATAACATCAGTCAGGGCTTTTGGTTGCAAATGGAATCCTCTCTGGCTTGTGTAAGCACCACAGGAACTTACTAAAAGCTTTTTGGTATCATCTTGGTGGAATCTCTAGGAAGGCCAGAGAACCTGATTCTGAGTGAGCATGTCCAGGAACAGTGCCCACTGCCACTGCTGGGTCCACTGTAGATGCCCCCCGCTATACCACTGCCACCCCCTCGCGTGGCTTCCTACAGACCCTCACTCACTGGCCCGCCCTCCCCGTAGAGCAGTATGAGCAGGCGCATTCTCTGCCTTGTGGGACAGTCCCAAAATAAGGGTTTTGAAGACACTGCACAGCCATACATGTCTAGCAAACATATTTTTGCCTCCACTTATGTGTGAGATGAAAAATAAAACATTTAATTTCAGAAGTGTGTAGAATTTTACAGTGGTTTACTACAAATATTTATGTAACATTGTGATGAAGGTATGGTGTCTTCTTTAAAACTAATATTGTTCGCATTAATATATTAATTTGCTGATGAACTTGCTTTTAATTGTTGTTCACTGTGTGACTCGACAGTCCCAAACTAATGAATGGATTTCATTCTAGAAGGTTGTTGATAATTAAGTCATTAGAAATTGTGAATGCATCTTTCTACTGAAACGAAGTTATCGTGGGTGATTCAGTTCTCGTATTTTAAAATGTGTTTTACATTCCAGCGAAAGCTCCTAGAACACAAGCTACTTGGCATCTTCAGATAAGAAGTGAAAGGGAATGGGATGGAATCATTTGTGGGCACAGCGCCTATAGACACATTGTAGACAGTCAATAAAAGTTGGGGAAATGTTTCTAGGATTAGAGGGTTGGAGAGAGGAAGGGAAGAAGGCGAGTATAAGCCTATTTCTAGTATGGAGCTGCCTCTAATTGTTCTGATAAAAGCAGGTTACATTCAGTGACATAACAGCATTTCAAAATTGCACATGTTTATTGTCTAATCCCCCAAATCCCAGAGTAGTGAACAATTTAAGAATCATTTAAAATGAGTGCTTCAAAAGAAAATAGACTGTTCTGAATAACATGTCTTGACCAGTTATAACACAGAACTTATAAGATTAGTGTGAAGTAATTGGGCTGAATATATAGTCTTCAAAAAATACCGTGGAACTTTTTGCTTATTTTTAATCCTAATATTAGCTTATTTTCCTGATGATTTTTTATCTTTTACCTAAAATAGAGTAGCGAAAAATATTAACTGAGGTTTCCATTGCCTTCATCTAGGAATGGCTTATTTTTTTATTTAAATTCAAATAATTAACATATAATATTAGTTTCAGAGGTAGAAGTCATGATTCATCAGTCTTGTATAATGCCCAGTGCTCATTACATCACGTGCCCTCCTTGATGTCCATCACCCAACTACCCCTTCCCCTCACCCCCTCCCCTCCAGCAACCCTCAGTTCATTTCCTATGATTAAGAGTCTCTTATGGTTTGTCTCCCTCTCTGATTTTTGTCTTGTTTTGTTTTCTCTTCTCTTCCCCTGTGATCCTCTGTTTTGTTTCTTAAATTCCACATATCAGTGAGATCATGTATTTTGATGACCTTAAAGGCCTTATCGGCAATAAAAATGCAACCTAATTGAGGCTACTGGAATTTCCTACCTAGAATGGAGGAGAATAAGTTGACCTGCTTGAGCAAAGTAATAACTGGTATTTTATATATACCTGACCATTCAGAACAATTAAAAACTCTATTATGGTGCCTGGGTCGCTCAGTCAGTTAAGTGTCTGCCTGCAGCTCAGGTCTTGATCTCAGGGTCCTGGGATGTAGCCCTGCTTGGCAGGGAGTCTGCTTGTCCCTCTTCCTCTGCCCCTCTATCCCGCTCTTGCTCTTTCTCTCTGTCTCTCAAATAAATAAATAATAAATTTAAAAAATCTTTTTTAAAAATGTAAAAAAAAAACAACTCTATTACTTCTACAGTTTGTTGCAACAACATATATTAAGCATCTGCTATGTGTGAGGCAGTATGGCAGGCACTTGACATAAAAAGATGAGCAAAATAGCCACAACCTTTGCCCAGTTTGAGCAATTAACATGAATTATATCCTGTGATCTATAATTATGAGAACAAAAACTCTTGTAAAGGTATTTCATTAAAGTTTATGTAAGTTTCAAACTCAGAAGATAATTTTCATGATATTCCCATGAAACTTGAGGTATATTAAACATTTCTAGATGGCAGTTTAATTTATCACATATTTTAATATTGGCAGACCAGATGAACATTTTGATAGGATCACAGTTGGGTAATATCAACCTCAGTATTTAGAAAACTAATTTAGATGATAGAATGAAATAAAAACAGATTCAAGAGAAGTTGATTCAGTGTAGGGAACCACTCTTGGAGTTGCAGAATATGATAACCCACCCTCAAGAGCAAGACGACAAATGTGCCCTTACTGATATTTGACCAAGTTGGCATCTTTTCCTGTCCCATCAGTCCCTTCTGAAATCAGGAGTGCCTCAGATAAAGGAACATCAGCAGAGTGCCAAAAATTTGCATTAACTGATTGACTCCATTCACCAGGAGCCTGCCCCCTGCTTGCAGCTAGTTCAAGGTCCTGGAATGTAAACTGCTTTGCCTCTGACAAAGTAAAGGCAGTTCACTCAGGCACAAAGCTGAAGTTTAGGGAGTTCTTACAGAATCTGGAGTTTCATTAACCACTTAATGGACTGGGGAAATATCAGGGGGTAACAAGAACTTAAAATCGTAGAACTATAGCACTCAAAGCATTTTCCCTTCTCTGTTCCAAGTCCTTTATTTTATAGTGTTTCCTTAAGCCCAAAGTCATACACCTTTTACTTAAATTTAAAACACTCTAAAAATCTGCCAATATGTACTTTTTTTCTGATTTCAAAAAAGTACAAATGTTTAAGAAGGAAAAGAAAAAAACTTTTAGTTATACCCCACAGAAATAACTGTTAACACTTTGGTTTTTATTTTTCCAGACTTCTTTCTAGGCATATTGTATGTGTGTATGTGTACGTGTTTAATGCAAAAATGGGATCATAAGCCATTCTGCCATATATAGTAGTGAGAAGCCCTGACTTTGGAATCAGGCCATCCTGGGTTTAGATCTCAGCAGTTCTGGTTAACAGCAAAGACTTTGGCCAGTTTCTTTCCCTGTAAAATAAGGATGATAATGTATCTATTCATAAGGTTGTGGATAATATAAAGGAGATAACTTATGTGAAGTACTTCATTAAGCAAATGTTTGATAATCTAGCCTCTTGTTCTCTTGTTCCTATGTTCTACCACACTGTCCCCTTAGCACCCTGCTGTCCTGTAGTTGGAGGGTGGGGAGTGTGAGGCGGGGGACAGGGAGGCACCGATAATGTTTTTATGCACAAATTTCTTAAAATTTAAATTTATTAAACTCTGTTAGAGACATGTAAAGCTAAAATATTCTCCTGGATTTTCAAACCTTATATTTTTTATTTAAAGGTTTATATGACTTAAGTTTTATAAGGTAAATTCAGTTCAAACTAACCCCATTAACTTTTGTGTCTATTAATAGTTTCTAGGGCTTCTTTTGAAAATAGCTAAAATGAATGAAGTTCTTAACAGCCTTTTGGGTCCTTTTTAATGTATTGTGTTCAGTGTATACATATATAAGTACTTTGTGTATAATGTAGATGTTCTTTTTAATGTGTATGTAGTTTTCATATTAATTATCACAAAAAGCAACATAATACATCATAAGTACCATGAATATCATATATAGTTATGCTATTTTATTTGTCTTATGCAAGGGGAATCTTATGTCACTTTATAATTTGCCTTAATTTTCTAGTAGAAATACAGTTTTGTCTCAAATTGATATGGAAGGTTAAATAGTGTCTAAAAATTCACTTAGAAGAGTAGCTTTAAATTCTGAGATTTTTATAATTTTATGTAATGAAATGTGAAAATTAAATGTTTATGTGCAAAATAGGCCCGCAGTTAAATTTTATGACAAAGGAAGTAAATGTTCCTTTTTTTTTCCCCCTTTTCTCTAGCTCAACTGAGAAGTCATTTCCTTGGAGATCAACAGGTATGAGTTTTTATCATATAAAAAAATCCTTATTATGTCTTACACACACAACAAGAACAGTTTCATAGCCTGCTTTCTCGATTTACTGCCTCTTGGTGAAATAAGCCAAGCAGAGCCTTTACTAGTGACAATACTGAACTAATTTGCTTTGAAGTAGTTCTTAATTTACTTGATTGTTTTGAACATTGTGAAGTAGGTTTGTGTATGTCAGCTATAAAGAAAATTAAAGCATTGGACATCAACATATCAGTGTTATAATCACTGGACACTTTTAATATCAGCATATATTATCTAAGTATTTTCTTTTCTATCATAAGAAAGTACAGCAATGCCCTCACAAGAGTTACTGCATCACCTGGGAAAGTTGGCTAATCATTTATATAAATCAAGGTCTTTCCTTTCATAGTGTTTCCCACACTCAAGGGAAGAGTTGCCTTAAGCGTTCATATTCTTTATGTACCCAGATGTAAAATGTATATGGTAGCTTCTAATATAGTCCAGAAGCTTCTGATGTAATCTCCTTATCTTTTTACCCAAATTCATTTCATATAAAGGATGAATTACATTAAGGAAGGTGTAAAGCCCCTTTCACAAATATTTGATGTCTTCATAGTAGATGTTCATTCATTAGTGTTTGTTGAGCACCTACACCATGGACCCAGTCCTGTACACATCACTGGTCACACAGTGATGGGCACAACCTACACGATCCTGAGCTTCCCATGGCGCTTATAATGTAAAGGACGATGTCATCAATATATAAATGGTAGAATGGGCCTTGAAATCTAAATACTTTGGCAATTTTTAAATGAGCTTTGAACTTGATTAAAACTCAAAAATCACCAAATGCCTGGTATCTGAGTTTACCAGAACCTGTTACCAGGATCTTGGTGTTATTCGTAGTGCATACAAGGCACTCTGCTCTTTTATAAAGAAGCTGTTCCCAAGAATTGTAGTGTTTATTCAGACCAAAGACATATGAGGAGCAACTTAGCAATAAGTCTCATAGCAATAGTTTAATATAAGGAAAGTCATGTCATGAAATAATATGCGGTTAGATGCCAGAAATATATTATGTGGAAAACACTGTTGTAAATGGACAACCTCCTTCTGAGATAGCTTTGCAGAGAAAACGGTACTGGAGCCTAGAGACTGACGGGCGGCCAGGCTCTGGAGAGCGCTTAGTTACTGCACAGCAAAAGAGACAGAAATGTCACATCCGAACATTTAAAACTGGTTTGAGAGATGGTAAAATGCGCAAAGTCTAGATAGCCACATTGGGTCAAATTATAGAGATCTGTAAATACAACTCTAAATTGAACTCTCCTGCAGGTCATGGGGAACCACTGAAAATCCTCTGAACAAAAAGTCACCTGATTGAAATATTCCTCAGGAGAAATACCAGAACTATAAACTAATTAAAAAGTGATTTGAAAATTTTAAAGAAAAATGCAAAGCACACAGTAGGGCATTTGGTACTTGGTTGTGGCAAAAATTTACCACTTATATAAAATTATTCTGTAAGTTTATCTTTAATAGTGCATCATTAATTTATTCCAGAAATATTTCTTGAGAGCCTTAAACGGTTCTCTAGCACGTAGTTGTCAAAGTTTAAAACAATATCCTTGTCCTCTTAAGTGCTTCAAGTCTAGTGGAGGTATGTAACTCTATACGCTCAAAATTTCCTATAAAGGAAAACTACAGGTATATACCATATTTACTGATAGTCCCTATTTCTGGACATTCGGGTTGTTTCTAATTTTTTACTATTATAAATAACATTGTGGTAAATATCCCTGTATATAAAATTATATCTGTACTTTTGACTTACCTTAGGCTAGACTTTTAGGAAATAAAGTATTATTTAGAGTATATGAACATTTTTAAGACTCTTGTTATGTGTAACCAAGTTGCTTTCCTGAAAAGACTATATTATTTCTCCCTCCCTTTAGGTATGTAATGTTGATCCTCTTGTATTTCCTCATTTGACATCATCATTTATATTTCTTTCTACCTACAAAATATTAAAATCTCCTATATATTGCCCTTTTCTGTTGGAGTGGTTGTGTTTGATAGGTGAGAACTCTTTAAGCCCAAGCCTGATAGCTGTATCAGTCAAGTGGGGAACACCCAGCCCATGCCAGGTAATTCCATATGAGGGATTTGATATGGGAGGTTATGGTTCAGGTGTGGATTGCAAGGTTTGGGAGAATTAACAGCATCTGAAACACACAAGAGACTGGTCATACCCACAGCTGCTACCATTTCTAGGACTGAGGGGACAATGGGTTAGGTGGTTTTGTTTTTAAACTGGAGCACTGATGGGAGGTGGGGCAGGGGGAGATTTCCAGCATTAGCTGGAACCAGGAAGAAGATAAAGCCAAGCCAGAAGTGCTGCCTAGAGCCGAGCTGGAGAACATCTGGCTGAGCTGAGCTGAAACAGGCAAGTGGTGGTTTCTCACTACCTAAAGCCAGCCAGGCACAGGGTATAATTGTGTTGATTTGCATATAGAGAAAATGAACTTAGATCAGGAAGGACACATAATAGAGAATGAGATCTCTGGGCCCTTGATGTCCTTTCTACCTCCCCTCCCCTTCCCTCCCCTCTGGTACTTTTACTCATAAGCTTCAGTCATTTGACCACCACCTTCATGATTTACTAATGAGTTAAATATAGATAAAATATTATGTATGTGTGTCTGTGTATATTGTCCAAGTAGCTCCCTAAATACCTTAGTGTTAGGTATTTACAATACAACTTAATACAACTCCAGTAATTCATCTGTCTTCACCACAGCTACATTTGTAAATCACACCTAATATAACTGTTTCATCCCTTGCTTTTGTTGGAATACACTCTTAACCCAAACTCCTGTTCAAACCTGGCAGGTGTTACATTTACTTACCCTATTTTTCTTTTGAGGGAAGAGGAGTGCATTAATCTTCAACCACTGCAATCACAACTACTGTTTACTCAACTTTCTATTATTTTAACTGTATTCATGTTACTTGTGTGCTTTCTTAAATTTGCCTACTTTCAAGCCATACTTAGGACATTTAAGTTGTAACTATGGCAATAAGCTACAAAGATAAAGGTAGAAAATTGAAATTTGATTGTATGCATAAAAGAGTAAAATCTGATTTGTTTCATGTTTCTTTTTCTAAGTAGTTATAGATGTCTTTAGAGGTTTGATTGTAAATAAATAATGGCATAAAATGGCAGTTTTGCTGCTACTTTTCTGTAAAGTTTTAACTGTTATCTTCTCTTTACCACATTGCATGCAGAGATACTAAACATAGTATATAAAAATCATCTCATTTTTAGAATTTGGCAGTCCTGCCCAGAATAAGGGGCAGGGGTGGCTTAAAAGTAAAATATATATATATATATATATATATATATATATATATATTTAAAAGGTCTTCAGTCTCCTCCGTGTTTAGCTAGATCTTGACAAAAGTAACATCTTTATTCAATTTTCTTGGTTTCTTAAATAAGAAAGGATTACATGAAAAGATTTAGGATTGAAAGTCTCTTATTGTTCCTCATTTTCTTTAATATTTTGAAGTTTTCCTGCAGACAATTTCTCTACCTTTATATATATATTACAAATTTGACTTGAAAAGCTTGGCACTTCAAAAGTTTTTGAGCAGTCATGTGAATTGTTAGCAGGGCAGTGGTTTGATCACTACCTGGGAGAGATCCTTGCCTACTCAGGTATTTTCAGGATGGTACATTCTGTTGAAATGCCAGAAACGGACCAGCTGCTGAATTTTGTTTTAAATAGCTAACTCAGAGCAGAGTCATTTTCTAAGGAAGAGCTCAGGATGCCCTAGGCAGAAAAGATTTCCAATGCTTTATGATTCAGTTCAGCAGAATCCGTTTGCGCATTTGCTTGAGTTGGTTGGTTGGTTGTTTAGGTCCCTCAGTCGTTTGGTTGGTTTTTGTATTCGGGTTAGTAGGCTGTTGGAAAGTAAAAAAAGCCAAAGCTTTTTAAGTTTGGTGCTCAAAGAGATGACTTCCCAAAGCATGAGGAAGAACCGTCCACTCTACAAAACATTTCTGTGTCCTCAGGCTGGTTGAGAAGGAATCTTGAGGAGAAGCTTCCCCAGAAGCATTTATACTTTATTGTTATCTTGCTTTACTGTTCTCCCTCTCTTCATTGTTCTGTATTTTCTAGCTTACCAGCATTACATATCTAATCTCTAAAAACATAAAATGCACATCCTTTTGTCTTTTGAAAAGAGAGTTTATCATTTTCTGTTTTGGCTTAGTTTCTTCCCTAGTCTTGCATCTCTTATAACCTTGCATTTTTGTGTTTTTTTATGTATGTTCTGCTAAAAAAGAGTGAGGAAGGAGTGTTGTCTTAGTGTTCCTTCCTGTTTTCTCTTTTATTAGTGTTCCATTTTTCCATCATTCACATCTTTGTACCTCTTAAAAATTTATGTATTTGTACAATCTCTTATGTTCTGCCAAAATTTGAGGTAGCATTTGAGGACACAGACAGTAAAATAGAAGATAAACACTATAATCATGAAACTGTATAATAGAATAATAGGTAAAGGCCTGAAGAAAGTGACATGCAAATATATGCACATGTAATTATAATTCTTCATGATGGAAAATATTATGCAGAGTAGCCTTTAAAGAAAAGAAAAAAAAACCTCTGGCTTACTTCTCGTTTTTAAAAAAGCACACCAATTTACTCACACACAAAAACAAAACAAAACAAAACACACCACCATACATAGTGTGTGTTACCTACCAGACAGAAGCTGTTGAAACCACAAATTGAGTCCTTTTGTCAAAGTGTTCATTGGTTGTTACTTAAATCCTCCAGCCACATCCTGCAAAGTGAATTGTGCCACACGTCGCAATTTCACAGTTTTTCTGTTCCAGGAAAAAAAATTACTATAGTCTAGGCAGCTTCCAGTTTTAGTACTTATGTGTAAAATGAGGAGCGGGGAGCAGCATGGCATCAGCAGGAGAAGCCTATCCT